CCTCCTCCTCCTCGCCTCCTCGACTCTTCACGTCCCTTTCCGTGGCTCGACCCCTGGTGGTTCGCCGGTTCTTTAATCCCACCCTCCCTGAGCCTGTGTGGATGTCATCTGCTCTCTTATGTAAGAGGCATTGGGAGGGGAATGGCTTTGACCAGCCGCCGTACTGCTGCTCTCCCTCGTGTGTTGTGGTGGCACCGGAGTGGTTTCACCATTTAGCCGGCTACTCAGAGAGCAAGAGAGGAGAGAGAGAGAGAGAGGGACTGATGGTTGTACATGGGGATACCAGTGCCCCTCTGCACAGGTAAGTGGAGCTGGAGTCACTCTGTGTAAGAGGAGGGAGGATGGTTGAAGTTTTTTCCACTGGTGGCATTCAGCAGCTCTCTGAATCCTCGGTGTTGCCGTTGGTGATGTAGCAGGCGGAAACTGAGAGTCGCCTGCTGATGATGAATCTCTTCCTCGCTGCTAATCGAGGCGTACGGAGTCCGTTTGATCATGAATGAAGCTGACGGGCTGCGTTAAGTCTTCCACAGATCGACAGTTGAATCAGGAGGCAGTGTGTGTGCGAGGATAGTATTTTAAATAACTGCTTGCTTAGTTAAAACCCTGGTGATGTAATGTTTGATTATAACGCTGTTCTGTCTCACATTCGACCTTTTATCGAAGCATTGCAGCTTCTGCCATTCGGGTATTGCAGTTTGGAAATATTGCAGTTCGGATAACGTTAACTGTGCAGCTCGACTCAAAATGTAAAAGTGCTTTACAGTCTGAAAGCATACGACACTGGAGCGGCAACTCACGATACTTTTCATCATCGATTAATCTGCTTAATCATTTTCCTGGTAGATCAATTCATTGCTTTATGTATGAAAGTGGAGGTGACGTCTTCAAATGTCTTGTTATTTCTGACCAACTGTTCACAAACAAGCTGCAACAAGAGAACTGGAGAATAAAAGCTCCTAAAAAAAAATCATGCAAGAGCAACTTTTCTGGATGTTTGACGGCTGCTGCCCACCATCGCCATCACCCCAGGAGTGAAACCCGACTGTAAGAAGGCGTCAAACAGTGCGTACGTCAGAGCTGCTCCGCTGTAAACCATTAGCCGGAGATTATCTCAGAGTGAAGGTGATTTCAGAGGCGCTGGCCTCGCTTTGTCGGGTCTTTGCGAGGCTCAGCGGCGCTCACAGAACAGGTGTTACGCTGTCAATTGGCAGTTTTTATTTTGTTTTCACCGAGGCTGAGACGCTGGTGCGACCCGCTTTGTATGATAATTGTGAAAGGCAAAACTATCAACGTGGGCAGGAAGTCAGAAGTTGTGTGCACCCACTGTCTCAATTAAGGTTTTTCTTTCAGCCTCAGATTTATTTTTACCAGCCGCCGTCTTTCAGATTAATGGCGAGCTACCTGCCAGACTCGCGGGTGAAGGAGTTAAAAGTAGCAGCCACCGATCAGACGGATCAGCTGGAGGTGTTTTCTCACCCTGCTGACGATACCGATGCCCAACAGAAGGTATCGCACAGATCAGTAACAGCTGTGTGGTTCTGAAAGACGAGACGATGAGCCGTGTTGATCTACGCGTGATCCGTTTGGTCATGAGTCAATCTGGGCATCTAGTTAAAGTAAATATACGTAATTATGACTTAGATTCTAGTTTTGAGACTGTTTAGGGCTTTAACCAATCATTAGTTTCATTATCGATCAATCTGTCAGTTAGTTTCTCCTCTAATTAATAAATCAGTCATCAAATATGTTAGAAATAGTGAAGAATACTGGATATTTAATTTAAAATTATATAAAAGAGAATAAAGCTGCTAATGTTAATTTACTTAAATGACTCATTGTTCTTTCAGTCAACTTATCGATTAACAAACTTATTCTTTTATCACTATACATGTTGTGGTTAAATCTACGTCTACTACGTTTAATTCAAGCATCTGTAGAAAGCTTTTTCAAGTCAACCATGTGACGATATTCAGTATCTCCATATTTTAAATTCACCACAATAAACTCATCTGATCTATCTAACTTAGGGCTTCCCCCAAAAACATGATGCTGTGAGTCATCAGTGAAGAAGAACTTTTCGTCTGTTGAATCTCGGCACTTTTGTTTATTAGCTGCGTCCTCGTACACAGAGCGACAGCGCGGCTGTAAACTTTACAAACCAGCCAGCGCGGCTGTAAATTTTACAAAACCGACTCTCAAAAACGACCAACAAAACCTGAAAGCTCTTAGTGATGGAAAGGACGGAGAAGATCAGCAAGCCAGGAGAGATGTCCTGGGTTCACTGCAGATTTCTACAAAAGAACGAAAGAGCAGGATGCACACTTGTACGTTCCCTTGACGTTTTCTCATCCACACGATGTCTAAGAAAAGCACTTAAAAACTCGCTAGCAGCCGGCACGTCCACCGGCAGGAAACTGCTGTGATGTTGGAGTTTAAATGTAGGCATAAGGCACAAACTAGTTGAAGTCCTTTGTTTTGAGCAGACCCGATTATCGTGATTTGACTCGCGTACAAGCCCGCGCATAATATCGCGGTATGGTCGCCGGGCATCCCTACGTGATAATATTAAAGTTACTAAGCTTTCGAGCCGGCAGAACGACCATGGCTCTACACCACGCACAGTAAAAGACAGGACACATGGAGAGATTATGAAGAAAGTTTGGTTTATTCTACTGCTGATAAGTTTGGAATGTCTTTTTCTTAAAAAGGGAAGCTTAGGTGTAAAATATGCGGTAAATCAGGAAAAAAGAGTAGAACGTTAAGGCTGTTTAGGAACTCGTGCTAGATTACATCACAGTGTCCAGGTCGATGATATATCTCCGCCAGACTCGCATCACACGCTCAGCAGAGGTCGTCTAACTCGCAGAATGGAGCGAGCTACTCCGCAGATCGTGTAATCACTTTCTAAAACGGCAGCATGGATATGAGATGGGACTCCGCTGTGAGCCTTCACATGGCTTATAAAAGCTTTCACTGGTCAGTCGCCACATGCTCAGCTGTGTGTGTGTGTGTGTGTGTGTCCGTGTCCTCTTTGTCCACTGCCGGACATACTGTACGACTGCCTGTGTGACTTTGACAGAGCATTAGAGAAGCAGCCTGCAGCGTCTCATTCACGTCTTATTACATAACCTTTTTTTTTTTCTTTTTCTTCGTCGGCCTTCGTGTCATTCAGCCGAGTTCAGGATCTTCGTCCTCTGCCCGACATCGGTGTCTTTGGTTATTGTTGCCTATCTGAGTTGTTAATTAGCAGTTAATGACAGAAGGTAACAAAATAGGTGGATTTGAAATGACTTCTCTTAAAATAAGCTTCAGTCCATACCTGCTCCTCTATAAGTAGCGGGTTGATGGGTTTTAAAGGTTGATACTGATACCGGTCGTGTTCTGATCTATCTTTGGGGATGAACGTCCGTTAAGTTTGGCGCAGACATTCCTCGTCCCCAGCAGATAAATCCTAATGATCTTTAACGTTTCGTCTGACACATCTAACACTTCTGCTCAGGGCGAGGTCCATTTAAAGCTGAATTCCCTTCAAGCTAAGGAATAAATGGACAGTATCCGCACACTGGGTTAAAGTTCCCATGAAAAGGGTGCAACCCTACCAGGTTTTCATCAAACAATTGGCCAACATCGTAATGCAAAGAAAAGCCATTTAGATACAACATTAAAGATAAAATGTTAGGAGGAATCCAGTCAGTAACGGATCAGAACACTTGAAACGGCTCCATACGTTGCTTAACCAATCACAGCACCACAACAACACTTTAAGGAAACACACAAATAGCCGTCAAGGTCATCAGAAAGCAACAATCAAAATGACTAAACGCTCTATTTAAAGCTCCAGAACAGCTATTAAATTGACCTTGCGGTGAGATTGTTTCCTCTGAAAGGACTGTGAAGATCAGCTTTTAAGACAACATGCGTCAGAGCAAACTTCACATTATTTAAAGTTTTCTGATTTTAAAACTTGTCTTTGTTGGTAGTTGTAGTGTGACGATCATCACAGCCTTTTAGTGTCTCCGTTAATCTCCAGTAACATCAGACGGGTCCTCGTTCCCTCTGACGGCTGAAAAGAAATCTTCACTTTCATTTTCCCAACTATTTCCTCATGGGCGTGGTCCAGAAAAGTGAGTTTGCAGTGACTTGTTGTGGTCGTCAGCGGCCTGAGCAGCCCGGTTTGTTAGAAGCTTTTTTAGACGTAATCAGCAGCAAACACAGCTGCGGACGTTTCCTCAGCTTCCTCCCACTGTGGCGGCGCCTCACCGCACACACAACCCGCTCCATTGTTGTGGGCAGACGCTGGTGTTTGTGGTGTGTGTGTGTGTTGAGTGTGATGGTCCGTTGGCAGGTAAGACGGCGGTGTGTTTGTGTACTGTAACCAGGCTTCAGCTGAGGCCTAAATACATCCCATGCTGGGAAAATGAGGCTGTCTGCTGTGGCTGCACAGGTTTGTTGTGATACTAATGAAATGCTGGAGGAAGGTGGACTGACACAGAGCTTAAAATAAAAGAAATAGTCAGTGTGGATGTTGTTTCCTTTGTTTTATTTTTGCTTTCATGATCTCAGTACCAAGAACAAACACATGCCTGTGGAGCTGCATGATAATGGCCAAATGAAACCCTCTTGTAGTGAAAAGATAGAAGTTTGTCTCATTTAGAGTCTATTTATTCATCATGTCTTATTTATTTGTATATTTATCACTTTTAAGCCTCCATACATTCACAGTGTCATAAAAACTAATAAACTCCTCAATCTCAATCAATTTAAAGGGACAAATGGAAGTGTTTTTTGTTTTTTACATGATTACCACCTGATTTTATATGAATTAAATATCTCCGTCTCCATATCATCAAATTTTTCCTTCAAAAAACTGTTTCACTTCTGCAAAGCTGTCAATTATTGTGTGGTTAATCATTGTGCCTTCAGTGAACCGAGAGCACTCTGAACGGACGTCTGATGTGATTGTGTTAACCGCCTGCCCCCCCCCACTGTGTTTCTCCCAGCAGGGCTATGTCCTCGGCAGCCACCACATCTCCATCTGTGGACAAAGTGGACGGATTTTCACGGAAGTCTGTCAGGAAGGCCAAGCAGAAGCGGTCGCAGAGTTCGTCCCAGTTCCGCTCTCAGGGCAAACCTATTGAGCTCACGCCCTTGCCACTGCTCAAGGGTAAGAGGGGGGGAAGGGGGTGTGTGAGTGTTGATGGTGAGGGAGGCTGAAGGGGTCGTAACCCAAACACTAACATGAACTTGCAGCTTCAACAGATCACAGATAAGAAGAGTTTCACAATTGGAGCTCGTCTTGCTTCATTAGGCGCAACTTCTCCATTTAGGATTATTGAAGTCAGATAGGGTTGTCTCTCTTTCAGATACTCAAGTTAGATTTAATGAGACACTTTCTTCTACCTTGTGGAATAGATATTGAGTGCTTCGTCATTCATGCCTCCACTCCCGCTTAAAAAGAGCAAAAGTTACTTTAAAGCACTTTACAAAGTCAGCAAACAACCTGATAGGGCAACAATGTGTGTAACAGATCGGAGAGCACTTACAATAAAAGGTGACAGGCCTGCTGTTGAATGACCTGTTAGCTCCAGCAAGTTATAAGGAAGCTAAGTAGAGCGGAGACCTCAATGTACAATCACTAAAGGGAAAACAAAAGGAAATGGGTTTGACGCACAGCTGTACTGACTACAATAGAAACCTGTCTGTCTCTCAGATGCACATAAACCACAACAAACATGATTGAAACACCTCCTGTGTAGATGAGCCTTTACAGGAGAGCAGCGTTAAACTGATGTTAACTGAGGTGAGGTCTATCTTTGGACAACCACATAAAGAAACGCTACCAGAGTCCTGATTGTTTATCACCTCGGATGGCAGAATTTGTTAACCTCTTCAAGGTGGACTTTTAAGGGTTCTCCCCAGTTTGAGTATGAACCTTTATGTGACAAATATTCTGCATCATTCAACATCTCTGAAACTTATATAACAACAGATTTAGTGTCTCTTTAAACTTATAAATCTTTAGCTGCAGGACATGAGCCTGAATACATAAACCCGCCAGGAGCTTAGAGCCGAGATAGACCAGTTGATATGTTCTTCTGTGTTTGCCTCGTGGTGTCAAGACTCTGCAGCAGATTTTTGACATTAACTTCACCTCTACCCCAGCTTGTCTTTTAACATGTAAACCACGCACAGAGAGTGTGTTTGTCTCCTGAGAGACGCCTTCATTAAACTCTGTGCCCAGAAATGATTGTGAAACGGATGCAGCTAAACTCGAGCCAGTCGGTTTCCTGCTTTGCTCGTTCCAGAGTCGAGCTCTGTCTGCGTGTGCTGTCAGTGTTATTGTTGTTGTTGCCCGCTCCTCTGCCTGCCTGCCTGTCTGTCTCTGTGTTTCAGCTACGTGCCTAGACAGGTAGATCACGGTGATGACACAGGTAGGTCAGTGCTGCAGTCTGTCGCTGTCACTGACAAAGAGATGAGATGTCTTCAATCAGACAAAAATGTGTATATTGTTTATATCCTACACCAAATATGCTTCTTAAGGTCAGAGTTTTAAACTAAGGATACCTTACATTTTTGGCTTGTGTCAAAGCAGTAACTAATTGCAACCCCTTCTTATCACATGTTTAATACAGTGTGTAATAACAACATTTCTGAATGAAATGAAAGAAACGCAAAAAAAAAAACACAATTTGTGCTGGAGAACATGTTTTTTTAGTTCTTTTGTATTCTGTTAATCCACGTAACAGCTGACCTAGAAGTAGATTGATTTTAAACAAGTTTTAACAAGTTTTGTGATACTTGTTATTATTGGGCGCTGGAGACGGCAGCAACCTCCTGACACAATGCCATGTTCACATATCACACTGCAGGTCAAGGTGAATTGGGCGATGTGTGGTATGCAGTTGGGCGTAGTAATACACAATGAGACACCAGCTCACATTTCTCTTGTGTAAATACAGCGGTGGCGTGGTTTGGTGGCGACAGCAGGAATGTTGCCACACAGAAACCAAACACATCCTCCACCTGAATTTTTTTAACCTTTTCCTGGTTTCTTCTCAAGCCGACGCTCCGCCCTGCCGGCTCCTAGAGGGAGCAGGAGGGGGAACCCGGAGCTCTCTCCCTGTTTATGTGCTAAAAATGTGCGTGAGTGTTCATGCTCTACTTACACTTGTTGTTCTTATGTAAACATCTACCAGCACACAGCAGCACACCTGACCTCCACTCGCACACACACACACTCACTGTTGATTACATTAACTGCAGACATCATTAGTAGAAGCACGCACTGTTTGATAAAGAATTAAATACCGAAACAACATCAGGCTTGTTTGAGTTGTTACAAAGGCGGAACGGAGGTTCCTAGAAAGCAGATTGCCTCATTTCTCTTTTCTGTACATCTACATAAACAACTATGACTGCATTATTATAGAAAGAATATGCAAAATATAGTTTCACAGTTGAAAAGCTAAATAGCTTTTACTCTACTTCAAACCAATACATTTGTCTCAGTGCAGTGTTTTTCAGAATAGTAGTGACTCTTTTTTTTTTGGGTCAACTATTTTGTAAGCTATGCACAGGATGTGTAATCTCTTCCATTTGTTTTCAAGTACACAAAGTCTCATAACTGAATAGTTTGAAATCTACCTTTACATGCATGGACAGCTGTTAACTCTTTGTGTGAAGCCACCTGTGATTTTCATATTTGTCCAGGTAGCAAACATTGTGTGTTGATGCAGAATCTTATACCTACTCAGGCATTGTGTTTTGGTAATTACAGACACATGCCTTTAAGATTTAATAATAGATTTAAATGATAAAGTTCTTCTTCCTCCTTGAAAGGTCCGATCCCGACTCACAATGTCTGATTTTTTTCCCTGTCGTCTTATCTTATGTTTGTCTGTGTTCCCAGAGATTGTCAGTTTTTAATTGCAGTCGAATGGTGCACATTAGGGCTGTCACTTTTTATTTAGAACTCAGAATACCATTCACATGTGAGGAAAGTGTTCACTGTGACGACAGGCCGTTGCTTTGTGCTGCAGCCGAAGGGGGAAGGTTTATAAAATGCACTCTCACTCTGATTTGTTGCTGCACTGTTGCCTTCTCAGTAAGTCAGACAACTGTTGTAAGTGTAAAATAGGAGAAAGTAGTGAGCCGTGAACCGATAAATCCTGACACCAAACAGTTAGAGATAATATGTGGAAGCATTTCATACGTCACACCGGAGCAGGAAACATTGCAAATCCCCTCATGAAACATTACAGCAGCAACAAATGTGAAGTCACCTCTGAGTGTCCTTACAATCAGACTGAATTGCCATTTCATAATCACTTTAAATTGATGAAGACATAGTAGATGATGATTCAGAGGTCTGGAACCAGTTAACCTGTTACTTTTTGACTCAAATTATTTCTTAATCATTCAAACTTTTCATGGAAAACAGCTGAATATCTCCAATTTGGAAACAGTAACAGCAACTCTCGTGTTAATTAATTAAATGATCTTCTATCAGGGCTTCCCTCCTAGAAATAAAACCTACTACAGTATTATTTCTTAATACAGTTTAATTGCATAGTGAGTTTCCCAGCAACCGGTGTCCAAGTGTACCAAAACAGTCCGAATGTGCTTTCAGTTCTCGTCCTAGCCTATTTTAGTCTTTCATGGTCGTACTGTATTTATCTGCGACGAGCCGGCACATGGTCGTTCTTTTTCAGCACCTCCCTGCTTCAGTTTCACATGTTCACTTCACATTCACACAGCTCCACACATTTCTCACCTCCTCAGTACAATCCCAGTCTGCTGCTCCTGACCGCCGGGCAGCCCCACCGGAGCTCAGCCGCTCCCCCGCGCCGTCGCTTCAGGAGGCGGTTTTAGTTACAACAGAGTCAGACTGTCCTGAATTAGTAACATAGTCAAACACGTCACTGATAACAGATTTCATTGCTAGGTGTTATTCTCTGTCTACTGTTGTCTGTTCCTGTGGAGACGTACTGTACATTATGAAGCAAAACACAGTGCTGACAATCCCGTTTCTTTTTAAATCATGGCTGTAGTGCATCAGTGGTGTGTTCTGTCTGAGGGCGGTGGCGTGGCTGCGGGCTGAGGGTCTGTTCAGAGCAGATATGAAAGGTTTTTCCATTATTTCAAACTATAAGCTCATTTTTAAATCTGCACAATCATGATTAGAGAGCTTCGGTTGGCGGGGTCTGCCACTTGGTTGCCAGACTATGATTGGAGGACTTTGAGGAGAGACTTTGGTAAGAAAGAAGTTTTACTGAGTTTCAGTTCTGGAGGGTTGGCACAGTATGTAGAGTTTCACTGTACGATAACATCTAATATATAATATATCTCTGTTTTATTCTATACACAAATATTATATTCCAAAGAATGAAAAATGTAGAACAAATGTTTTATCATAATTTCACAAAATATTATGTCTTATATGTTTTACAAGTATGGTACCGTAGAAAATGCTCACAGTATGATAACTGTCAGTTTTCATACCACAGTATATCATCGTATCCATACAACCGTATAGCTAACTGATACAAAACACTCCTCCTTTCCATCCATCCTCCTTTCATAAACACTCCTCCTTTCATAAACACTCCTCCTTTCATAAACACTCCTCCTTTCATAAACAAACCTCCTCCTCCATCATACAGTCTAAAACTGGCTAAATACTGATTAAAATCAGGACCCATCAGTTCAACCAGACATTTGAGGGCAGCTTTCAGTATCTGCAACGCTGGTACATTTTGGTATTCTATGCCTGTAGCACACAGGTAGAGCTCTCCTTTGTGGCTGTTAAAGTGTGATGGGAAAGAAATTACGACCAAGGCTGCAGGTTTTTAAAACCATCTTTCAGTGACTGGGTTCAGCCAGACGTTTCTCTTCCACTGATACGGGGTGGAAATAGTTTTGACACTCGAAGTGACGCTTGTTGTTGTAAGATGAATGTGCCAGTTTTAACTGCTTAACAGCGTTTTGCTTAATGTTACTAAATATGAATGTTGTTATGTACTGTGAATGGGCCTTAACGTTAGCTGGTATCCACTAATAAACTTAGGAAAAGTGGTAACATCCTGAAATGGGAACACAATCCTGTTAGTTTTGAAATGCTTACTTGTTTTGTTTTTGAGAGTCAGATGAGACGGTGGAAACTTT